AGGACATCTTCCCTCGTATCAATCTTTTGCTTCATAATCTCGTCACAACTAATTTACAGTATGTTATGCTACCGTATTTCTTTTCGTGTGTTTTTTACTGATTTCAACAAGTTTCAGTCTTGTTTATTTCCTTCTGTTTCTAACTTTGCATTTCGGAGGGTTTCTTTTTTTAATAAAATTGTACGGATCATTAGAATCAAAACTAACAAAGCCTAGAACATTACGATGGTTATCATTGTCCAACGTAGAATTTCACTAGCAAGCATCAAAATATAATAATATAAAACTCTCTTGAGATATTCTGGACAAAGAAAAGTGATAAAATAGAGCATACAGCAGTATGATGTTGATGTATTCTAGGTCGATTCAGAATAGAAATGAGCTTTTCAAATGCTAGAAGTTCATTACATCATTCTTTTTATCCCCTTCATTTGCCTTATAAATGAAATTTTTTTAAAGCCAACCAAAATAAAATTGAAAGACCTTTTTAGCGTGGTGGAAGTGGATTATATTTTTTAGTTTTAGTTATAATTCCTCATGTCTAGTGAAATTTTAGTTATGAATTTTCTTATGTCACTATATTAAACGTACAAAATTCATAAGGGTATGATTTTTTGATTCTTAAATTAAAGTGTAAAACTGCCTAAAACATGATGTACCCATATGTCAATGGTCAGAAAAGAAATGCAACAGACAAGAAGCCTCATTGTATATGTGAAAACTATGCAAAAAAATTGTTCATTATTTGGTATGGAACAACTCCACGTGTGGCAATATCATGGAGCCAAACTTAATAAAAAGAGATTATGAACAACAAATCTGGTGATTTCGCTAAGCCAGAAATAAATTCATTCACTGAGCTATTCATGACTGGCCTTGCAAGCTATAATGGAAACAAATACAGGAAAATCATTAATCGCGCCTTCCACATAAAGAAGTTGATGGTTTTTCTTTGGCTTCTGTTTTTGTTTTTTTTTTTCATTTTCTTTCTTGTTTAGCAATTTTTTTCCAGTATTATTGGCAACCTATTTCATCCTTTGGTGTTATTTTTGTTGGGATTTGCCTTGAATCTCAAAATCTCACATCGAAAGTTAAGTGAGTTTGAGTTTTTCTTGTATCTCACTTTAGGAGTTTAGTAAAGGTATAAAGGGTTTCATATTTATAAATATGATGTTTTGGTTTTGGTTTGGTAATCCTAGAGAGTTAAACACCCAAAAAATAACTAAGTGAGTAGGCTATTAAAAATGTGTAATTACGTTTTAAGTTAAGTTTTGAGTAAGGAGTTTTATCAAACTTTTCTCATTCTAAAAGTCTCATAATTTTAAAGATTTATTTGATAGTGGATTAGGCCATTTTGAGTTGGGCTGAATCAAATATATTTGTGTGTTCTTATTCTTGATTTGAGCTTATTTTTTTATATGTGATTACTGCGTATGGGTGCTGTTTTTTCCAACAAGTGGTGTCAGAGCTAGGTTTGAGGTTTAAGGTTTATGGGCATAAGAGATCGTGAAACAGTGTTTGAAGATGTTTGAAGAAGGTATGTCTAGTATGTCTATGCCTAAGTTTGAGATTCTGTTATTTGATATGTCTATGCCTAAGTTTGAGATTCTGTTATTTGATGAAAAAAGTAATTTTATGTTATGATAAAGTACGATTCAAGATCTATTAGTACAATAAGGATTGGATAAGGCATTAGAGAATAGTAAGCTGAGGGAATGTCTTATGCTAATTGGAATAGGATTCAAAAGAAAGCTATTAGTACTATTAGATTGGCGCTAGCTCCAGAGGTAAAATACAGTGTGTTGACTGAGAGTACTCCTAATAGTTTGTATGATAAGCTTGAAGGTATTTATGCTTCGAAGTCATTGACTAATAGATTTTGTTTGAAGATGGATCTGTATTCTCTGAAGATGAAAGAAGGTATGAGTCTTCATAATCATCTGAATGAGTTTAATAGATTGGTTTCTCAATTGCTAGCGATTTCTGTTGATGAGTTAAAAATGAAGAGAAGGCTTTAATTTTGCTGTCATCTTTACCCAAGTCTTATAGGCTTTTAGTTTAGACTGTGTTGGTGGACAAGTCTACTTTGAAGTTGGATAATGTGACTGCCCTGTTACGTGAGAATGAAAGGTTTATGGGAGCTCAGAACTCATCACCTAAAGGGAGTACACTAGCTGTAGAGGATTTTGATCAGGGAGGACTTAAAAGAGGATTGATAGATCAAGAGGGAGATCCAAGTCAAGAGACAGAGATTAACATTGATATCGAATGTTATTGTTGTGGTGAGAAGGGATATATTCAAGTGCACCGCAGGAAGCTGAGAAGGGATATGACTGCTTTTAAAAGGGCGAATGATTAGAAGAAATCAGATGAAGAAAAGAGTGATACTACTGCTGTCGTGTCTGATGATGTTGTTTTGACAACTTGTATTGATAAGACTCAGACTTTGAAAAGTGATAAAGGTTGGGTTTTAGATTCAGCTGCTACAGTTCATGTTTACAATTATAGGAATTACTTTATGGAGTTGGATGAGAATGAAAAGTATGAGGATATTGTGGTTGCTAACAAAGAAAAAGGTGTAGATTCAAGGCATTGGGAGTGTTCGCCTTAGATCTCACAATGGTGTTATTAGGACGCTTCGTCATGTAAGGTATGTACCAAGTTGTCAGTACAATTTGATTACTTTGGGTAAGTTAGCTTCTCGGGGATACACATATTATGGTAGTAATGATTGGTTGAAAGTGTACAAGAATGGTAGTGTGATTTTATAAGGGAATAGGGTCAATAATCATTTGTACATGTTTGATGGAGGCTCAGTTGTTGGGATGCCTGTGATGAAAGAAAAGAAGAAAGGTAAGCATGTTAGCTTTATAGATACTGTTGAAGTGTTTAGAGATTCAAGTTTAGGGAGGATTTATTAAGATTTACCTCGAATCTCAAAATCCCACATCGAAAGTTAAGTGAGTTTGAGTTTGTCTTATATCCTACATTGAGAGTTTGGTAAAGGTATAAGGGGTTTCATATTTATAAATATGATGTTTTGGTTTTGGTTTGATAATCCCAGAGATTAGACACCAAAAGAATAGCTAAGTGAGTAGGCTATTAAAAATGTGTAATTGAGTTTTGAGTAAGGAATTTATGAGACTTTTCTTATTCTAAAAATCTCACAATTGTAAAGATTTATTTGATAGTGGATTAGGTTTGAAGTAGGTCATTTTGAGTTGGATCGAATCAAATATATTTGTGTGTTCTTATTCTTAATTTGAGCTTATTTTTTTGTGTGTGTTTACTGGGGGTGTTGTTTTTCCCAGCAATTTTATGTTGCCTGCATTTGTTGTTTGTACGGAAGAATTGATTGAAAAGTGGAACAAGTTAGTGAGCTTCACGGGATCTTGTGAAGGGGATATGTCTGTTGAATTTCGAAACTTAACCGGGGATGTCATATCGAGAGCAGCTTTTCTTGTCAATTTCGAAGAAGTGAGGTTGATATTTCTTCTTCAACAGGAAAGGGCCCGCTCTTTTTACAATCTCAGATGAGCAATTTCCCATTGTTAAGGTATATTTTACACAAGGCATCTGCTCATGAATGTTACCTTATATTTCACTCGTTATTTCGTAATTCTAGCTGTTTAGAGATATTTACCCCAGAAATATGAGAAATTTCTGAAATGTTGCAGAATTTAATAACAGAGTTTATGGTAATTGTCACACAAATTTATATTGCTCTTCACTCTTATTCAGGTTTCTGCCAACCAAAGTAAACAAAATAATGAAGCACATACACCAGGAAGTTGGATCCTTATTGACAGACAGGTATAATAGAAAACCGAGAGAAGGCTATAAGATCAGGATATCACAAAGAAGATTTGTTGGGCTTGCTGCTGAAGTCTAATCTCAATGAGATACAAGAAAAGAAGGATTCCAACACCGGGATGACCAAGGAAGATTGTGATCGGAGAGTGCAAGTTGTTCTACTTTGCTGGTCAGGAAACCACAGCCACTTTGTTGACGTGGACCGTGATTGTGTTGACCATGCACACTGAATGGCAGGAGCGGCCAGGGAAGAAGTATTGCAAGTTTTTGGGAAGAACAAACCAACATATGATGACTTGAATGGCCTGGAGATAGTAAGTGTAGTTAGTGGTTAGTTTTGTCGATTTTCTTATGCTGTTGGATTGAAGATTGGTTTTATTTATTTATTGTTTCTTACAAGGTAAACATGATTCTTGCTTCTTGTATTGAGACTGTATACCTCAACATCCCTTATTCGATGCAAATACGAGACGAAGCTGGGTAATTTGTGTCTTCCAGCAAGGGTGCAGCTGTTTATGGCATTGCACCTTGTCCATGGAGATACAGAGCAATGGGGAGAGGATGTAATGGAATACAACTTCTAGCCAGAAAGATTCTCAGAAGGGATATTCAAGGCAACTAAGGACAAAATATCCTAATTCGTCCTTGGTTGAACAAAACTTTGCGATGCTTGAATCCAAGTTGGCCATGTCCAAAATCTTGCAGAATTTCTCATTTTAGAGCTATCACCAACCTATCCTCACCCTCCATATGCTGCTGTAACACTTTAACCTCAATATGGAGCAAAGATCATCTTACATAAATTATGAGAATCTATCTTGTTTCACATTTGTGCTTGTACGCATAAAAATGCAGTCTCACGTGAAAAAGCTTCAAGCATTAACGCAAAATCATATATAGTTTTACCTTTTCTTGCCAAGCCTATGATCTTAAATTTTTATAACCGAGGCATGCCCAAATGTGAAACTACTTCATATTTACCAAAGATGAGTTGCAAGCCGTATTAACATCAACAATTCCACCAACCCGAACATGGTCACATAGATTTGGGAACTGAATTTGAAATACGAATGAGACGAGACTGAAAGAATCAGTGAGAAGAACATTTGCTAATTTCCACTATTATCTTTAAACGAGTACATGGAGAAGCAGTTCATTGATAAGAAATCTTGAGAGCTATACCAAAGCGACAGGGAACGTTTGTAGAGGACAAATGGAAATTTTATGATGCATAAAAATTATTTAAGTTACAAAATTAAAGTTACAATGAATAAACATCCAAGTTTGCTCCAAATTCGTACTTTAAACCTAACTATCCTCTCTGTACTCTGGATTTTCTTTCAAAATAACATGGCCCTCCAGGATGGGTGAGAGGGGAATATACCTGTTCAAATGGAATCGTTAGAGAAATATGAAATCAGTTAAATAATGTAACATTCCGAGTCACTCAGGAGGTGGCTTACTTTTCAGTAGCCAGTTCTGCTCTATCGCCGGCAGCAAGAAGAACGGGGGTGGAATGGGTTTGGAAACCAGTAATAGTCTTGGGTCGGCCAGCCTGGCCCACAACATCAACAGCCTGACCCACCCGAACTGGGACTGAGAGAGGTTTAAGGTTTTCGTCAACAGTCATCAACATCCTTGGCTGTACAAGAAAAAAAACATTAAAAAAACTGCATTAAGAAACAGACAAACAGCGAAAGTAAGTAGTATTACTGAAATGAACCTGCATTGCCAGAACAAGGAAGTAGAGAACATAATGGTATTTCCCCAGTATTATAGCTTTCATATCAAGACATGCATGCAGCATTGTAACCAAACCAGCAAGTGCAGTCCTGAAGGTAACAATGAGAAAGAAATTTTTATAAGGTGAACCAAAATGAAGCACCTACTAGCATATAGAAAGAAAGCCACTCCCCAAAGTTAAAACTGAATATATCATTTCATGAATTTTATTTTTTTTATTTTGGTGAATGTTTATGTAGAAAGAACCACTTACGGTGAGAGCAAAACATGATCAGAATGATAGGGATTAAGAGTCAATAGACCCTTCCCCAAATGTACTAAACCTTGAGCAATTCGAACCTGCAGAAGCAATCAAGCCTTAGTTCTCTAACAAAGCACATGGTATCATGGTAGAAACCATTAACACAATTGCCAACCAAAAAAAAAAAAAAACATACACAGAATAAGAGGCTAGCATCTTTGTAGTAATAACTTGAAAGATTGCGAAGCATGCCAGCTATGCGAGCATTATTGGTTCCAGCACCTATCAAACCCAAGGAGATAACTGCAGCCTGTAGCATCCACACAAACACTTAAAACTGCTAGCTGATGAAACAACATAAATAATAAAGAAAAAGCTTTACTCTAATCATCTTACCATTGCAACTTCTGAATCTGTATCATGACTTAGCCTGCTTAAAGTGTCCATAACATTCACCTGTAGAATATATGTGCAACCAATGAACCGACAAGACAGAGGCATAAAAAAAAACTGCAAAACTCTGCAGCTTTCTGAACATTAATGGATCTTGACCTTTAATCTTGGGTTTAAGAGCAGGGTCATGAAATTGTGAAGAAACAATTCAAATTAATTGTTCTCTGCTTCTCAGTTTGACTTCACTAAGGCATATTGATCAAACTCAATTTTTTAGCTCATTTGCTACAGATTAAAAAGTGGAGCCTTTAAATCCTCAACCTAAAATTCCATCCACTAAAAAATGGCCAAACTAGGTTTTCAGCCAGTTGTGATGAGATTCATTTACCTTTGGGTTGGATATACAAAGAAGACCAAGAGCCAAAGGAACTGCCCGCCGGATATTCTGCTCACCATACTGCAAAAGATGCTCTAGTGAACGAATTGACATCTCAAGACCCAATTCTTCAGCCATTGCTACCATGGCAATTCCAAGTACAGCCGGTCCCTGGTGGGTTTCACCCTTTTCGAGATGTTGAGCACAATGAACGAGAAGGTTCTGGACCTGCATATAAAACAGCTTAGATAACATGTACACTAATTCCAATTTTGAACACCATTTTAAGGGATTTAAGAGATTACCTTTAGAACATTCCCTGTTCCAGCATAGGCACAAGAAAGAAGTGTAATATCACAATATTTTCTTTTCTTTTCATTAAATGTTTTTGAGACCTCTGCTGTGGCCTCCACACTTTCCTGTTAGTAAAAGATTTTGTAAAACAAGTCATTATGAAATGTTCTAAAATTGCATACAGCATACTTTTTTCCAAACTGAAAATTAGAACCTATGGAAGCTAGGGCCACAAGAACATGTAATTTTCTTAAGAGAAACAAATGTATGCCAAAAGCTCAAAACTAGTTATTCACCTGCTTCCCAAGGTATAGAAGGCCAAGACCAAGAGGCAGAAGCCGAGTGAGGGGCTCCCCAAATTCTGACTCACTTCGTTCCATTAAAGCTAATATAATAGCCTGCGCAACCTCCTCATTGCAGGAGCCCACAAATACCAAACCCAATGAAATTGCAGTAAATGCAATCACATCAAGAGGGGCTTTTGCATCGCTAAGTATGGGAGTCAAGCTGCTACGAATCTGTCAATAACATTGGTAAGCTTTCATTAGAAATAAATATGTCCCATCCAAAATTTCAGCCAAATTCCAAAAGAAAACTCGATAGAATTATTAGATATTTAAATGACCAAAACATGAAGAGCCTCTGATCAAAATATTACAGAGGTAACCTAAATTCATCACAAAGGACATAATTGCCAATGCCATGACCTACCATCTCTATTGAAAGGGGGGAGAGAGAGAGAGAGAGAGAGAGAGATGTATACCTGCTCACTTTGAGCACCAGCATATGCAATTCCCAAACCTAGAATTGCACCAATTCGGATTGAAGAATCTTCTTTACCTATATATTCACTCAGAAGTGCTAGTGCCTGAGAAGAGAAAATAAGACAGAGACATAGCAAACATTATACTTTGTGGCCCTTGCACAAACCAAGAGATGAGAAGAAATGAAACTCACAGGATCACAATCATTCTTAACACCACAGTTGACTATCCCAACTCCTAATAATGCTCCAGCAATCACATGGTTATCGTTGCTATGGAAATACTTGTCAATCTGAGCAAGCCCAGAGTCGACATCCCACAATAGAATCATTCCCTGTTATGAGGAAAGTGATGAGAATCTTATATTTAAACTAAATTCCTAACATGAAATCGCGTAACAGTGTATGCATGCCTATTCGGAAGCAAAATTTATTATAAATGGGTATACATACCAGACTTGCCGCAGCACTGATCTTCCCATGTTCTTTGTTTTTGAATAGCCAATTTCCAGATGAACCACCACTTAAAGGGTCTGCTGGGGCTGTCATTAACTTATCCTGAAAGGGAAAAAATTTTAATTGACATAAAAAACTAAGCTTCCATAACCTCATAATTTTAAATTTGCAAACCATACCTGGCCAAACCCTGCATTAACAAATGCATTAACAAATGTAGCAGCCAAGTTCTGCCTAGCTGAATCAACACTTGCACCAGCACTAGCACGGCCATCAAGCAAGTGAGCCTAACAAAATCCAAGTATGTAAATCATCAATTTGATGAAGCAAATTAGCCAACATGGGCAATATCAATGTAAAATAAATAAGGTGCTCGCTGCAATAACAAACCATCCATGTAAGCACTTCACACCCTCCATTAGGAAAGGGAATAAGATGAGGGGGAGAGGGGAAGCTACCAACCACACCACTACTTAGAAAGTATTGAAATCCAAACCTTATAGATATCTTCCGGAGATTTAGGCTCCATAACCTCGATATCGCGAGCAAGGGTGAGATAACTTTCACTTAATTTAGTATTGTTGATGATATCCTGTAAAGCCTCTCTGTCATCATCATCTGCAACCATTTCATCATCAAGCTCAAAAGTAATACCCTGCAAAAAGATATAGATAAATACATAAACAAACGAAAAATTTAGAAAACGTCAAGCACATCAAACAGATGCATACATACAAAGACTAAACTCTGGAGATATTTAAATCCATCAATACCTAATTTTGACCATGAGAAAATGAAATCCAATCATCCGTAATTAGAAGGAAATATAAACCAAATGACATACTTAGCAACAAAAAGTTGAAATGCTTTCCAGCACAAAGAATCAAGCCAAGGAAAACCTAGTACATACATGTCGAGCAAGAATGTAGCAAAATTGCTTCTTCCTCAGCATATCATCACAAGACGTAAACACCTGTCTCACATGCTACAAGAGCACATTCTAAATTGTTAGGAACAACAAAATCCAGAAATGAATTTCATAGTGACATCCTGAAAGAAAATTTTCTCAACAATGCCACATGACATGGTAGGAGAGGAAAATATTAGAAAACAAACCTGCATGTTGTCAAGAGAAAGTGCAATCTGAAGTGCATATGCAAATTCCTCAAACTTAAGATATATTGTGTAACCGATATCCAAATGTAGCATGTCATCTGGTCCAGGAAGGTATCTGCAAAATAATGCAGCATGAAATGTCAAAAAGGGGAGAGCAAGAAGAGCAACATCATTTGTCATGGATAAGAATACATGAGAGATCTAGTTGAAAATTTTAGTTCAGCATGTAAGGCTCAATAAATTTTACATATGATTGATTGGAGAATACTCAATCAGAACTCAGCAATGAAGACATACATCAGGAGAACAAATTAAAACACTTTCCGTAAATTGTCTGATAAACAATTTGTTCGGAAGCTCTAGTTACCTAGCAGAACTTTTGAGGTATAGACAAGTTCTCTTGAAATTTGTACTATCAACATGCTCAACTAGAAGATCAAGATCTTCAACCTGCAGTATGTTTCAAGCTCAATAATAGAAGAAAACTCACATAAGAAACCTGAAGAAAGAAATAATGTTGCATAGTACCTCCATCAAGAGATCAACAGCTTCAGGTTCAGCATTGTGCTGCATAGAAAGTACAAATATGTTAGAAACAGGAAACCGTGGAAAATTCTGAAAAGAATTGTTCTTCTGCAATAAATCAATTGCTTGTTACATATCAGGAGAGACCCATACCTTCATGTGAAAAGCAACAATTTGTTGCACAAGCTCCATTAGATCTTCAATTGGGGCCTCTTCGCTCTGTATTGGTGGCAAAGTCAGTAAATACAATTAAAATCCAGATTAATGTCTAAACATTAAGGAAAACCACATTGAGAGAAATGTTCTAAAGTGCATAGCTCATAAAAGTTACTAGATGTCTGAAGATTCCTTAGATTTCTAACCTGTCGCTTCATATACTCTTGTGCAATTTCTCCTGCCAAGTTCCTGACAACATATAAATTAACAAGTGAGAACAAAAAATTTCTGTTAGATTTGAATGCCAACATGGAAAGACGATACATAGAAGAATAAAGTTCACATAGGTAATCCTTAGGATACAAATTCTTACATACAAGGAAAAAATTCACATAGATAATCCTTAGGATACAAATTCTAAGAAAAAAAAAATGTTGGAGCACCAATATGGCAGTAGTGGCAACCAATTTACCAACAGGTAAAACTCAACACAATCATAATCTAAAACAAGTTTGACCAGATATAGCTAATGAAGCACTACTAATTCAACATATCAAGAATTAAAAAAGTAAAAGAGTATGTTATAAAGTCAGACAATGCTCACCTCACATACTCATGGCCCCATGAACCAATGTCACCTTCTGAACCCAACAATCTGTATTTTAAACTCTCCTGTAGGATTGTCAAATGCGAAAAAAAAAATGATGGATTATCAAAATTAGAGCACAAAACAAGTAGACATCAAAACTTATGTAATTCTCCAAATATAGTATTCCCAAAAAAATATAAAAATCAAAAACCGGAAAGCTACCCGCTCGCCCTCTGCAGACATGGTCAGCGCCAACACGGACAGGATATCAGCTAGGTATTTCTGCAAACAAGTTAAAGTAACTTAGTGATGCAGGACAAATGGAGAAAAAGGAAATAACTAGGAAAGAAAAGACATCAAGAAAATTCTTGATTTGTGAGAATATGACTAATTGTAACCTGAAAGAATTTATAGACTACTTCCTAAAACCCGCTGATAAACAAACGAACCTGCTAAAACCAAATATCCTAAATACCCTAAAAATTTATATAAATAACAATTATGCACATGGAATGCAAATTAAGAACAAAGTCCCCATATAAAATAATGGCTGCATCTAGATCATCCTTCCCTGCATCGCTTAGCGCATATAGATTTACCTTATAAAAGATGTAATGGGAGATAGATTAAAGCAAAACAACGAATACCTTCAAATCTGATTCTGGCATTGTCTCATAAAAAGCCTTTAGAGTTCCATAATGAGGACGGAGAAATTTCAATGGCTTTGGAACAGAAGTCATGGAGCTTGTTGAGGTGCGGATTTCTTGCCTAAAATGAGGATATCAAATCAAACTGTGAAAAAAATGATGCTTTATTCAGGCATTGTAACTAAACCCATCCATGGATGCTCCCACTAACAGTAAAATCAACAAAAGCAAAATAATTTGATACATTCACAGCGGCAATTTGACGTTTTGACCTGACCCATCGACTTCATAAAATGTTAATAAAAAACACAAACATAAAATAAATACTCTTTCGAACTAAAAATAAGCTTCCCTTTCCTCAATATTTCCACTCAAATTCGCAAATAATCGATTACCTCATGCTCTCAAGTGCTACTTTCTGGAGTCTAGGATCAGGGTCCTGAACTCTTTCTACATATAGCTCCAACTGTTGCTTCAAAGCCAAATCTTCTTCCGACTGCGTATGCCAAAAAAAAAAAAAAACCTAGCTAAGTTGTAAAAATCGATACGGTTAACTAAACCCAAATCCTGAACGGCGACTCACCAGATCCTCCTCCTTCTTCTCATCTTTCTTCTTGGGGTCCTTGGCCGGAGCCTTCGTCTGGGAGGTTCCGGCGCCGCTTTTCGGATCCGACATCGCGATTACGGAACTCGGTTGTCTTGCTTTACTTGGGTGTGAGAGGGATTTGAAGAGGAAACGAAAAAGCAAAAAGGCAGTGCTGTTGCTCTATTACTACTATGATATAACCGGGGTCTCCTTTTTCCAAACTGAAAGAGCAGACGGTACTTTAGACCGGGCCGAATAGGACATTTTAACGCCCAAACGCCTATGCCCAACATTTGGATGGATACATTGGATCATCCTTGGCAACAACCCAGGCTCAAAAATATAGTTGGGCTCCTCTCACCTCTCTAATTATATAATGACAAATTATTTTATTAGTGGTGTAATTTTTAGATTTTACAAATAAAATTATTAAAATGATATATATTTCTTTAGATATATTTTAAAAACAACAAATTAGTTTAAAAAAATGAGATCAATCTCTTAACTTTACTTATAAAATTAAAAAATTATATGAATAATGTATCAAATATGAATTTTTATATATTTTGTTACATAAATGCAAAAATACAAGAGTATTGTTTTTTTTTTTTTCCAATTTATAACTTTAAAATATATATAATCTTCTAGATTGATGAGTGGGCTTGAGTTTTTAAACATCCAGCTCGCTTGGCAAAAATTATATTTCTCTTCAAACCATGCTAGGTTTCGGGAAAGGCTATTTCTTCACAATATGGGACATATAACCTGGTCCAACTTTGCCCAACCGATTCAATGATTGATTAAAATGAATTATAGAATTATATAATGATATTTTATAAAAATAAATTTTAACATTTTTAAAAATAAATATATATAATTTTAAAAATATATTTAAAATTAATTTTATGAAATATTATTATGTGATTCATTGATAATATACATAAATATGAATTCAGTAAAACATAGATCTTATCCTTAATTTATGATGATTAAAATGAGGTTCTCCTTTAATATATGATTTTCTTTCTTTATTCTTCTTGTGGTTAATGTTATAACAATTTTTCATTTTGAGATTCAATAGCTAAACACAAAACATGAGTCATCATCAATCTTTTTATTTAAGTATGATTAATCATCTAAAAATTTATCTTCTCAATATACCTTAAAATTAATTAAGATTTATCAAAAAATTATTTTGATGTACGAAATCAGAGTCAAATTTAAAAATACAATTATGTGTGAAAAATATTATAATACCCCCACAATATCCGTCCAAAAATAGTGTCAATTAATTTTACATTTTCTTAGAAATATCATGATTAAATGGTCTTTTATTCTCTTTTATTATTTATTATTCAAATATTAAAAGTTTTTTTTAAATAATTTCCAACACTTTCAATATAATTTTAAAAAAATTTTCATCTAAAACATATTTAAAAAATCACTTAATTTTTTAAGAAATTCTATCATCGGATTGGTTTAGAGATTTATTATTATTATTATTATTATTTACTTTTTTTTTAATCTTATTTTAAGAATAACTGTGAATCCATGATATTGAAATTTTATTTAATTTATACATCATTAAAAAAAAAAACTTAGATAATATATAATTTTTTGAATTTTTAAGAAAAGAACTCATTCATAATTTTTTTAAAAATTATGTTTGATCAAGGATTATATTTTGTTTCACAGTTTATTAATTTTTTTATTAAAAATTTTTAGGCTAAATTAAGCTAATTAGTATTTTTTTATTTTTTTAAATTTACTATTGATTTATTTTTATTATTTATTTGATTTTTTTAAATTTTTATTAGTGTTTTATTTATATTTTCATATTTTTTATTTTTATATTCTTATATTGAAAATATATCTAAATTTTTCATCATTTTAGAAACATTTAGAAATATTTTCTCATCTAAATATTTTTTAAAAAATCAATTATTCTTGACCTTTTAGAATTGTATCATCAACTTTTACTAAATTTATTTTAAGAAATGTTTAAAAATTCTTTAAAAAATTTATTTCATTTTAAAATATAAATTCTTAATTATTGAAAACTTTACTAAAGTTTCCATCTTTATAATAAAATTTTAAAAAAAAATTTTCACCTAAAAATTTTTTAAACGATCAATTATTCTTACTTATTAGAATTCTACCATCGGATAATTCTTGTAAATGTTATCAATAAAAATTTTAAATTATTTTTATTAAATTTTATTCAATATTAAATTTGTTTAAACTATCCGTCATTTTGGAATAATTTAAACAAAATTCTTTCTTTAAAAGTTTCAGAAATCATTCATTCATGACTTCGTTATCAGATTCTCATTTAGTATTATTTTTTATTTTTATTTAGTTTTGAAATTTCATTTAAATTACATCATTTTGGAATAATTTAAACAAAATTCTTTCTTGAAAAATTTTAGAAAGTCATTCATTCATGATTTTTGAGAATTTCATCATCAATTTTTAAAAAAATTTGTTTTTATTTATTATTTATTAATTTTTAATTTTTATTCTTTTCTATTCTATAGAAAACAAATTACCACTTATTACTTCTAAAAATTTTCCTAAAAAATACATAAATAAATATTTAGACATTTTATTAGTTAATTATTTAAAAAATAATTTAATAAGTTAAATAAGGAAAATTAAATATTTATTAGAATAATTAAAACATAAAGTAAATAAATCAAAATCAAAATCAAAATAGAAAATAGAAAATAGAAAATAAATAAAAAATAGAAAAGGAAAAACTTAGAAATGGGTAAGGTATCCTCATAAATTGGTGCACAGGTTTAACGAGTCAGGCATGAGATTGGGACACCCAAAATGGCTTCATTTTGAAAAGCCTATAAAAGACTCTAAAATAGATTTAAAAAAAAAAAAAATTTCTCCTCTCTCTTCCTAAACTCTCTTTCCTAAAACAAAAAACAAAAAAACCTTCACTGAACAATCTCAAAACCTAGTTTTCAATCAGATATTATCGTACCAGCATCAAGAATTTCAATCCGTGCTAAAAGGTTCAAAGTTTTCTTAGTTTCTAGCTTGTTTTTCAGGTTTTGGTGGTTGAAAATTTCACTTGATCATTGAAAAATTCAAAAATTTCTATATTTTGATGACCTAAAAAAATTCCAAAATGATTTTCTCATTCTCTTAAACATGATTCTTCAACTAGTTTCCAAAAAAAAAAAAATCACAAAAGGCCTAGATCGATTTTTTATTTTTAGTTTTTTCCATTTTTTGTTGGTTCCCTTCAAGAATATGACTAATAGATTTTTTTCCTAGATATGTTTTTAGTTGTTTTTAGCTTCTAGGTGTTTGATGGTCTCAAGTATGGGTCTCAAGAAGGCAAAAATATGTTTTTTTTTTTTTTTATAGTCTAAGGTTTATATGGTTTGGTTGAAAAGGAAAAGTAAAAAAAAAAAAAATTGAAGTTGCTAAAAATCTATTAAGTGACCTGTTGTCAGAAAAAAAAATTTTCCCATGTATTTTTTTCTTTTTTTATGTATATCTTAGTTTTGCAGTATTTGAAAACTTAATTTATATAGTCGATTAAGGATTCAATCCCTGGTTTTAAAGGATTGTAGAAGATTTTTGGGATTGTCACCGGTAACTTGTCATTACTGGTCATTATGCTAAAAAAGGTAGTGGTGGCAAAGTGGTTAGCAACTTGATTTTAGCTACCCAGGTCTCTGCTGTGTTGAAATTTTTTTTTTACTTTTGTTTTTTTTAATTTTTTTGGATTTTTTTTATGTTTTACTTAAGCTCATTAAATTAAATCTAAGAAATCAAGTCCAGTTAATCCCAATAAATCAAGTTAGTCTAGACATTTGGTTCCAATTTTGTCAAGCTCAATTCAATTTGAATAATTCAAGCACAAATAACTAATTGAGTCCAATATACCATTACAATTAGCTCATAGCCCATCTTGTAAGTTCAACAAAATTAAGTTAACTTTTGACCAATTTAGAATATTGAATTTACCACATGATAAATTAGAGGATTATTTGGAGTTTGATATTTTAGCACCCAATTAATTTTGTTGACTTCAAGAAAGACAGCATAATATATAGTTAGCCCTTCCAAAAATATAATTAAGTCTAATATATTGATACCATATAGTCTTCAGTCTTTTTTTATATGCAAAGCATAAGTTTGTGCAAACATAAGTGAGACTAAAAAAAAAATTGAAAAACTCCAGAACTTAGTCTTCTTGATATTAAATATATCAACTATCCAAAACTATTTTCTTTTTTTATTCATAATCATGACCAATATTTAGGCATATATTTTTCTTGGCTCTCGTGGTACTTTTCCTTATTTTGGTACCTTTCCATGGAGCTTAACTCATTGGTTTCTCTGTAATTCCATAGTAACTTTCATTTTTAGTAGTTTTCTTACTTGATGACCTATATCTATTAGGATAATAATTCTTATTCCTCACATCATAATAGCACTTACCACCTTTCATAAATCTGGTGTTACTCATTCCTTGTTTCCTAGTCTCATAGTCATTATTGTTGTAGTTGCTACTATAGCCATTGCTGTTGTACTTGTTTGTAGTGTAACCATTATTGTTGTAATTACTGGTGGTATAGCCATTGTTTTTGTAATTGCTTGTGGTGTAACCATTACTATTGTAGTTGTTTTTCTCACAGCCTATCTCATATTTTTCATCAATTAGCCCTTTAGCCAAAACATCATTTTCAAAAGTGGTGGTAGTGGTTAGAGTGTTGTCAGTGTTGACAATCTCCTTTGTAGGGGGAACATACTAGAGCCCTAACCATAAAGGCCATCAAAATGATCTTGGCTTTCATAGTTAGCAAGTGCTAGTGTTGGAGTTACTGCTAGCATTGGTGTAGATATCTGATCTAAAAGAGAAATTTTGGCCCCAAAGTGGATAATCTTGCTAAATAACTTGCTTTCCTTAGCTTGAATCTGGACAGAAGAGGATAACATCAGAAGGATGAAAAAAGAAATGTCATTTACAAAAGAAGCCATGACTAAGAAAGTAAATCAAGAAGAAATAGTTGGTGGCAAGCTCCATTAGTTATTAAGTTTTTTTATAGACTTTGTTAATTTGTAGAAGACTAGATAGTTATATGCTGATTAAGGAAAGCAAAAGGTGTAGGGAAAAAAATAATGATGAAACGTAAGACATTCAATATGGGCATTCTATAAGAATGTCTAACCTTGTAGTAAGACACCTAAAATCTTTTATATTGATATGATGAGTTAAAAAGATGTGGGCTTATTTTAATCTTTGAATCA